GCTTCCTAAGGAAAATGAACAACATCTATTACTATTTTTCAAATGTTAATCCCTTGTCTGGATTTCAGTAACTTGAAGCCGCACCTTCCATCCCCTGAAAAAACACGTTAGAATAACGTCATCTGGCTGAAATGTACAACAGTGGGTGATTCTGAGCAGATAATTCATTTATGATCAACTTTACATAGACGAGATTTGATAGACCGGTCATAGGATAAAAGCGTCATGCCGTGGACCGTAACAGCTACAGAGGGCTTGGACATGGTCAAATGAGACACCCTACATGACACCTAAGGTTAGCAGGCACGAAAAGCTCATCGTTTAGAAGTACTACGTAAAAATTTTAAACACATCTATAAAAATGGACACTGATCTTATCTTCAAACCACTAAAAAATAAATAGAGTTAAAATGTCAAAATTGGTAGCTTACTGTCTGTTTGCTTGCAACCCAGAAAAAACTCAGGACTTGAAAAAATGAAGTTTTATGTGATGTAGCTAAATTACATGAGCTGCTTTTAAAATGCATTTATCAGATTCTGGTTTGCCTGTTCAGTGGGACTAAAAGATAACAAGGAACTAAATAATATATGAAAAGTTGCAAGAATTCAATGAGATTCTTGATAGCGTTACTCATATTAAATGAGTGCTTCTCTGAGAAATACGTCAGGCATTTTTCAGTATGATCAAAACATTGAAAGCTGTCTAGATTATCCCTAAAAACTCTTCCCTGACAGAAACAGAATATTTGATAAATCAACAAAAGCTTTACAGGATATATCATAATAAATAATACAATATTAAATACATAGCTTTGTCTATTCCAAACTTATCCTGATAAAATCAACACCAAGCTATTGTTCAGTGTGAAGGAATGCAGTACGTACTGCAATTGAAAATACTTCTGCACATTTATCAGTAGAGAAGTGTTCATGAAGGCGATTTTTTTTGAAGGATTCCTGGACTGTTTTGTACTGGAAGCACAAGACCTCTGAGTGAAGATGAGAATGTCATTGACTGTGAACGTGCCAATAAGAACTATTTGATTGAAACAAAACAAACAAAAAAAAACCCCAGAATTAATAACTGAGCCATTTTGGTATGAGCAGGCTAGGAAAATTTACCAGATCTTTGCAAAACTTATTTAATTTTGACTTGGTGCAATCTACTCATTTGGGGAATTCCCCAATTTTACATCTTTAGATATTGTTATTAGTTGAACAGAATGATAAAAAGCCATTTGCCTACTAAAAAAATAATAGAAAAAAGATTGTGTCCTGCATAAACAACTGTAAACGAAATTTATTAGGTAGTAAATGGATAAATTCAGTATGGAAGCAACTAGTTATCTGATATAATCTCAATTATTGAGATTTTGAAAGTAAAATTACATTTACATAACTGATGTCTCACCCAGAAAGACCCAAAATGCTTTATAAGCTGCTATGCAAATCGTATGGAGTAATTTAACCCACCACTGAGCAGAACCACTCTCTAGCATAGAACAGTAGCTGTTAGCAAACAGCTACTTCCAGACAAGAACATCCACCAGAAGTTTTGCCATGGGGAAAAAAGTCGTCATGTGCTTGCTGAACTACTGCAGCCAACCGCAATACTACCTGCATTGCTCCTTAGATACCCCGCATACTGGGGTATCATCTGGGCGGGCTGAAGGCCTCAGTGCTGCTGTCCTCTCTGCTCTCTAAGTCATGATCAGGGTTCCCAGAAAAATTTCCATCCTCACAAAAGCTAGAAGTCCCAAATCATTTGTGATGTGGCAGGCCCATCAACAGAGAGACCATATGGACTTAAAATTATGCAGCCTTTTCGGAGATGACCACCTCACCATAGCTAGAGGGATGAAGCATCTGATCTAAGGCCAACTTTGTCCCAGCGCCGCCTCCTGTGGTTTATGTGGCAGTGAACTGGTCCATTTGACTCATCCGCATCCGTTCCCAGCTGCAACTCACTATGGAGCCACCCACCCATCTGCGGCCACAACAAGAGGCGATCTGGGAGAGAGAGAGAGATTTCATTTTTTCCTCTAGGAAAGCTGCCTTAAATGCAAACTCATTGACTTGCGTGGATTTGCATACGTAACACGAGGAATTTCTCAAGTATCGTATATCTCAAACTACAAACTAATGCCATGATGTTTAGATCACCTGGTGCCTCTGATGCTCAAAGACAAGTATGACTTAGGAAGAATATGATTTATTTTTAATATTGATGGAATTAAAAAAAGGTTGAATATTCTTACACCAAGTAATTGGTGTGGAAAGAGGAAGAGATGTGACTAAGTTTTAAATGATTAGACCGATTTGTTCAGCCTTCGTAAAATACAATTGCTGTATTTTTGTACATGTAACGTGCAAACAAGGTTTGTGCCCTTCTGAAAATACATGCTCAGACTTCAACAGATCGCAAAAATCAAAGAGGGGAGGGGGCAGAAGCAGGTGGGCGATTGGGTAGAAGAGATTTTCCCTAAAGGTAAATTTCTCCTGGCATTATCTGTATATGAACATCATCTGCCTTGCTGCTGAATCACAGGCTTAAAATAATAACAAATAATCCATGGGTTATAAAATACGAAAATATAGTCATTGTTGTTAGGAAATTTCTTTGAAGAATGGCAGGCGCCAATATGTTATTTATATTGAAACTTCTAAAACCAGAGATGTATAGAAACCTGACCGATCACAGGAAAAAAAGAAACCAAAGATGCTGTACTGCTGTGAGAGTATGAAGATACTCAAAGTACCTAAAGCTTAATCCATTTAAGGGTTAAAACCGAACCAAGTGCACAGAGGGGTGAACTCATAGCCAGATTTGCACATTCAATTCCAATAGCTGAAACCTAATTATAGGGGCATACGAACTTCATTGAAACATTTTCCAATCCTCTCAGCAACAAGTCTTAGAAAAGAAAACATCGACTTTCAAAAAATTTCCAACCAGTTTCTCTACGTGTCAGTAGGATCTGTTGACTAAGGGCAAAGTAACTTAGCTGGTAAGACAGAACTGCTATAAAATTAAATCAGTTTCTAATCTAGTTGTATTAATTATGCCAACATCTTAGGTGAGGTCGGTGCGGTGCAGCTGCGCCTGGTGATGCAGGTCCTCTGCCACAACTTCTCACTACTCCCTCTCCAGGCTGTTGACAAGAACGTCACACCTTCATTTCACCATGTACTATTTAATACTACAGCTTGTACACTATTTTTTCAGCCCAATGAATTTTGACAGGCTCAGATCAAGGCAGGCCATAACCACAGGCGATAAGGCCCAGAGGGGCAGAAGCCGACAGCCGCAGCAAGGCAATGCCCACTGGGGATCGCTGCCCACGTCCCCAGCCCCACAGCTGATGGGTACATGGAACAGCGACCAGCCACTTGGAGAGCCGGTCTCTGCAAGACCCCTCTGGAAACATCCATGTTCAGGGACAGTTTGAAATGTCCTCAACAACTCTTTTTTAATCTGTTTATTAGAGCTGCTTTCCTTGCAGCTTTTGCAGCATCAGTGCTGTGGTCCTGGCTTGCTGCAGGGTAGCCGATTCTGTACCGGATGGTGAACAGAGGCGTTATATTAAGCAACTTGCAGAAGCTCTTCCATCCTCTGGGCACCGCAGGGAGGTGGCCAGCCTTCTCGGAGGCACTGCAGAGCCACCAGCATTCACAGCTAACTGGGACGTGGGGCTCGGGGCTGTGCCAGCTCTGCACAGCTGCAGCGCGGTGATTTTCAACTCCATTCACATCGTAACGCTTGCAACTGCCTTTTCAGACACCCCCAAATTCATTTGTTGATCAGGTTGAGAATCTCGAGATTTTATATTTTCTACTTATCTGCCACGCTCCCTTGTAGGGTTGCGGAGAGGAAGGGGACATCAGTGGACCCCCCCCCACCGCTTTCATCGTGCCGTTCAACAGCTAATCCCAATATTGTTTTGCTTTCGGTAAAAAGCATTTCAAAATCCCTCTCCTCAATCTGTTTCTGCAGACCTGATGCTCCGAGGGTTGAGGCTGGGGGTTTCTTTTTTTCCTTTCACAGCGGACCTCCGATTTGCTCCCTGGGCTCCCCCGCGATGTGCAGCCCTGCTTGGTGCTGCTGGGAGGGTAGGAGGAGTGAGGCAGGGAGGGGGGCTCTCCGAGGGGAGGAGGTACAACTTTAGAAGTCTCCATAGTCTTTTCCTTTCAGGAAACACATCCTGTTAATGTTTGACTGCTGTGGCAGTGGCTCTGTTTGTTGCAGTCGACTACGCCCTGAGGCTCACCAAAAACAGCCACAAAAACAGCCATTTCCTCTTCGTGGAGAGGTGGGGGGGCCTTTTCCTCACAGCAGGGGCTGTTCCCCGCTCCCTGCACTCCCAGCTCGGATCTTCAGAGAGGGACACGGCAGAGCAAACTCCTCCAGGACTCCAAACTTGCAGAGCTCCTTTGGGATGACAGCATTCACCTCCAGCTCGGCTTGGCTTTGAGAATGACATTTGTCACGGTTTGCGGGATATTCTGAAGTTTCCATCTGAAAAAAAGGCTTTCAGAGCAGTGCTGGTTAACTCGGAGGAGCCAGCGCGCTCGGCACGCTGCTGGCAAGCATCCCTGCCTCTGCCCCGGCAGCAGCTCCGGCTCTCCTGCCTTGAGACTGGATTCTTTCTGGATTCACCTCGTCTCACAAGGAATGGACCTCCCTATCGTTCAGTTCATCGCAGGACTGGCACTACTTATCAAAGTGCAAGAAGGTGGATAAACCAAAGCTGGGAAGGACCTAAAAAAGCTTCTTTGTGTTCTTATTTTATGGAATTCTCCTACCTACCTCACAAAATTCTCATTTCCTTGATCAGAAACACCTCTGGAGTTGACTTTGAGAATGAACGGTGATGTCCTCTAGCCATTCGTAACATCCTAGCGAAGCTGCCTCTGTTTCAAGTCCAATTTCAATGTGCTGCAGCTGATTGAGACCTCGTGTCTTCTGCAAATAGAGACTGGCAGCGAGCTGACAGTCAGATATGACTGTCCAGAAACTGGTAGCCACAGCTGTGTTGGTAGCCCTGGTCTCACTTATTCTTAACAACGCGGCTGCCTTTACTCCCAACTGGGTATATCAGACCCTGGAGGACGGGCGTAAGCGGAGCGTCGGGCTCTGGAAGATGTGCTGGCTGGCAGAGAAGAGCAGAGGAGGTGCAAGCACGAGTGCCAGGCATGGGCAAGGGGAGGAGCGCGAGTGTGAAGCCCTGGGCTGGGGTTCAGAGTCAGCTGGGTTCCAGGAGTCGCGCAGTACTGTCAAACGTAAGTTCAATCTCTTGTCTTCTCTGTTTACGCTAGGTTGCGATTGATACGGTGTCCCTGGTCCCCAGGAGATTTGTAGCCTAGCAGAGCATCCCGAAATCACTGTTAACCATCTGATTCTAAACATCTCCTAACATTCATCCCCAAATAAATTAATTTGGGAAAATAAGAATAATTATGTCCACCAGTGATGAACTAAACTCCTCCTCCCTCCCCAAAAACGGTAATCTACATTGCATTGTCTGGTTTATACGGCGTATGAAACGATGTACTTTGAAAAAATAATTTGTGAAATGTAAATCCAAAGCTTTGAGACATCTGCTGCGTGCTTCTCCCTCTTGGGTTCCTGCTATAAACATATCCCTTCCTGCTCAATGCATTAAACCCCAACCACAGTTGCTCTGAATACCATAAAATTAAAAAAAAAAAAAACAAAACACACAACCAAGAAAGTATTCAGATGACATGCTAAGTTATTTCCTCATTCTGTTTACTTCTGTTGGAAGCGCCAGGAGCAGAAAAGACAGAAAGAGTTCTGGTAAAAACATGTAAAATTGAGATAGGCCTTAACGTATGCGATTATTATTCTTGGTGCAAAACCACACTTAGTATACTACTTGGGAAACATGAAAATCATTAAGCATGGTGTACTTCTCATTTTGCAAATTCACAGACTCATGGGATCTGAAGAATGCACATAGCTTAAACTCAGCTAGTTAAGATTTTTTGGTACGATGAAACCTGTAAGCCAATGTTAAGAATTATAAAGCTGAAGAATAATAAAGCGCACCTTACTTATCCCATTCATAAAGTTAACGGTGCGACCCTGCTGTCGTTCAGCAGCTAGAGCAGAACTGTGCTTGGAATACTGTGGTCGCCTCGGCCCCCATGGCCGTGACCACAACTAACCCGGTGCCGAGAGGTTCGCTCCACTGAAAGCCCCCGCTGCAGCGGCCGGCTGCTAGGCAGGCATCTAGGCAAGCTGGTAACGGCGAGGGCTGCGAGCCCCAGTGCTGCGGGGGGCGGGGCGGCACCCCCCAC